AAAGAGGTAACAGGGCTTTTGCTGTCTTTGGTTAAAAAAAAAAAGAAAAAGGTTGAATGCTGGGATCGTTTACTGTCATCCAAGATGTTTTTTTAAAAGACAATATCCTATCAAATAGGTTTTACTCCACTGTATGCAGAATTCCATCTGTTCAGGGTATATTGCCAGCACAAAAAGGGACTTAAGTGGGATGTGTGTTACCTTACACCGCTGCGGTGGCATCAGCAGGGACTGTTCAAAGTTTCAGGCTTAAACTGTGTAACCCTGCTGTAACTGATGGGTTATACCAGTGCTGCAGGAAGCAGAGTTAACCGTCAACACCCGTACTGACTGATACGCAACATGGAAATAATTGGGTTAGATTCAACCTAGGCTCAGTCTGCCTAGCTCAGACTTCGTGACCGTGCTTTATTTTGAAGTTTAACATGCTTGATGAGAAGAGAAGCACTAATGTAGCAAGTGTGGGATGTTACAATGGCATTTTTACAGTTACTTCAGCGTTTTAAGTTAACTTAAATATGCCTTCTTTCTTTTTGCATCACTGCTAAACGGTAGAGGTCAGGGACGTAGTTCTGGTCTCTGTTGTGAACCTGCACATCACTCTGGTCGTGCAACTACCTGTGAGCTGTGTCTGAGAGTAGCTGATTTTCTGACATGCAAAATGATGTATACCGGTACAAGACCAAGGTTGAGTCCCAAGAAAGTAAGTGGCTGCAGGCATTTCTAGTGCCTACTGATTCATATTTAAACCAAATAGAGGGGAGGAAGTTATTTGAAATTCTAACCGACTGTACTACCTGTATGGTGTATTATTAATGTAGCTTTTTGAAGTGGAAGCCTTGAAATGACATAACTTAATACTTGAAAATATATTGTAAATGTTTCTTTGTAATTATGTGCCATCCAGATAAGAATACAATATGATAATAAAAACAGACTTGTTGATCTTTCAATTTACGGGCTCAAATGTTTTTTCATCTTTTTCTTCTCGTTAATGCCTTGCTTTAATGGAGTGGTTCATTACACAAAATGGGAAAACAGAAAGGGGAAAAATGCTGTTAGTGCTGTCTGTGTGGCTCATCTGTGAGATAGCAAGGTAAAACGGAGCAGGGTGTCCAGGGGAAATGTTGTTGTTGCTCATCTGTCTTTCAAGTTCAGTTTGTGGTGAGGACAAAACTAAGGCTTTACTCCTTGAACCAAAGATAGAGTTGTACTTCTGAGAATCACCACTCCTTGTATTTTACAGTTGTTTTTCTTTCTTAATATTTTGTTAATGTGGCTATGTTTGATCAATAAACCATGGAGGAGCAGAATACTTACAGAAACTCTTCCATGGTCTATTGGTGTCTTCCTCCTTTCTCTCCCATTTTTAGGTTCAGAAGTTCGATGACTAGTTATTAATATGCTGTTAAACCATAATCTTTCATCAGATTGTTATTTCCACACTAAATGCTGGAGCGACTGTGACAAAAGGTTTGAGGGTGCTGAGAGGACGTGATGTTTTTAAAGCTCCAGGGTGACTGTTAAATGCTTTATTTGTAGAGAGCAGTTTAAAATAGCATGTTGGCTTTCTAGCGTCCAGGCATTCTAGTGAAAGTAGTCTGCAGCGTGATAAAAAGAAACGTTTCACAAAAAACATTGTCAGTGTGCTTTTAAATTTTTAAGTCTGCTCTGCCTTTTTGGCCTCCAGTTGTAGAAAACACCCTGCTCAGCGCGGAAATTTGTGTTGGTTTAACTCTAGGCACCACAGAACCAAGGGCCAACCTGGATGGTTGGACTTGGGTGATCTCAGAGGCCTTTTCCAACCTTTATGATTCTGTGATTCATGTTAAACTGCCTGGCTACGCTACCTTCATTTGCCAGTATTTCTCCACCCCACAGTCGCTTGAAGACTATTTAGCATTTAAATAAGAAACAGTTTCATGCTTAGTCCTCTGTTAGCCCTTAACAGTTTGATGGCGGTGCTGTGACCCTTAGTAGCATTCTAAATGGACTTCTCTCGCTTTCCTCTGAAGAGCTCAGCAGCATCCAGGAGGAGAAGAAAAATGGGTGGTTCTGCGATGCCTGGCTGCCTGGAGAGGTGGTATCAAAGTAAATGTAGGGAACCACGTTCCAAAACTTGGCTTCTCTTGGTCCTTCCAGATCATCGCTTTTCTCATGCCACTTGTCAAAACCGTAATTGGTTTTCCCCGTGAAGCACACAGATCTTTTGCAAAACACAAAGGCTTTTTGCAAAGTTACTGATTTTTAAAAACTTATGTTCGCTAGAGCTCATAGTTAGAGAGTTTTCTGCTAGAACAAACACCGCTCTGTTTACGGGGTTGTATTTGCTGTTAGTTAGACGGTAAAAGTCTCAGGGATATGTTAGGCATGCGGGTTGTTCCAAGCAGCTCTGTGTTTAAAGAACACGCTGTGTACAATTGTACATCGACAGTAGCTGATTCTACAGTTTTCAGCCAGTTTAAGTGGGATATGCAGATTTGGAGAAATAATTCTGCCTTTACTCGTAGGCAGGAGGATGCCGGGCGCTGGACTCGGGCGGGTATGGGGGAGAGGAGGGTGTGAAATAAATTGTAATATTGAGATTCACCGTCAAAAACTGGTACACGTAGAAGATAAAAATCAGTGTTTTAGTGTTTCCGTTGGTGCTTAGCCATAGCCAGTCTCTTGGCATCCTGGTGGCAGTAGTTCAAACTTGGACCAGTCAGAAGTCCATCAGTACAGGTTCTGTATTAGACTTCTAGCTCTTCTAGGGTCTTCTAAGAACACACTGAAAGCTGTTGCTGCGATACGTAGCTTGCTTTGGAAGTGTTTGCTCTTCTATGGTGGGGTCAGAGATACCCATACAGAGTGTATTTTAGCCATAGCCTGCAGCTGGCTTCTTCCTGC